TTTTGCCCACCAGTTTTGCTACCCTTCTTGAGGCCCTCCGTCAGCCGACGTTGCAGACGGCACTCAACCCTGGGTCAAAATACCGACTGCAATAAATAAAGTAAATAAAGGTTTAGATAAACAACCTGAGTTTTTCGCCCCAGCACAGTCTCCCCTGCCATTCCGATAAAAGTACGGCAAACGGTATTGAGTAAATTAAGAAGGGATAAAAGCCAGGCTATGGGTGATCTCGTTTAATATTACTAACGAGAGCAATTATCGAAATAAGGCAAGCAATTATTAAGTCCCGAAACCTGAAAGCGATTACCTTTGGTTCTGGTGGAGGCATTAGTCCGAGGCGTACTTTCTCCTGTCTTTCTTTTTGAGCTTCTTGACGGTTTTGACGACGAACTTTTTTTCTCTCCTTTTTAGTGAGCAGAAGTGGGATATCCGGATGTTTCCCCAGATCAGTTGGAGCCTTGAGTTTAATTGGGTGCTCAACCAGATCCGTGATCCATGCTTTGTTCACTACAGCTGAAACTGGAAGCCCTTTTTCCGCGGCTTCGTTTAAAATATCGTATCTAACAAAGCATTAACATCACAAATCTAACTCACGATGTGATTCCTTCGTTCAGTATATAAGCATCCCACCACTCCACAGAAGGTATTTCAGTTTCATCGGTAGCACGTTTGGGTTGAATAGTCGAGAGCTTTGCAGCACTAGCGATGCCAGTTTTCTTCACAGCTTGGGCGACGGATTCTTGTAAAAGCTGTAATTGATGTTTGGTTCGTATCCGCTGTGCAAGCTTCACAAATTTCCCTGGTTCGTAAAAGTTAAGCTGTCGTCGTGGTCTTCTGGCAGCTTTCAAACTAATAACAGAAAGACTAATAACGACGAATCTGAGCAAGAAACAAACCTTAACCGAGGGTCAAAATAAGGAGTCGCTGTAGTGTTCTTCAGTGGCTTCTTCTGTGTTGTGGTTTGGAGAACTTCTTTAAATTGCTGCGCTCGCTTAGCGCGCAAATTAGCTTTCAATGTGGGAGTATAATGCGTCAACTGAATTTCTTCACCAGTTGAGGCATCGATAGTTTTGCCTTGTTCGTCAAAGATTACGCTAACAAGTATTAAAAGCCTCAAGATACACTTACTTTGGAACCTCCTTAGATCTCCTTAACAAGCACATAAAAACATGGAAACCTGATGACTTACTTTGACTCCACCTCGGATGAAGGAAGATTGCTTAGAATACCCGTGTTGAGTCGAGCTGCTATCTGCGCTTGCAGCTGAGCAGCCCGTCTCATTTTATCGATCGTTTCGGTATCTGGTATTACTCCCGCGGGCATATTGATACCATTGGCTGCATTAGTTTCACCCTGAAGGAAAAATTACAAAAGCAACTACAACTTACAAGACCCAGTTGGACTTTACGCTCGGCGATTGTACGCTGGGCGTTGGCCATTAACTCTCTTATTTTCGCGGCAGTCAGTTCCATCGGCCCGCTGAAACGAAATATCATCTACAACTTTCAAACATACCTGCTGATTCTATTAGCGGCGGGACCAGCGTTGAAACCAGAGGACTCCATCATTTGAAAACCCGTGGAGATAAACGGTAGGCTTGAAGTATTTCACAGGTTCGAGGATAAGCCAAATGGCCCCGGTAACTGCACAACGAAACCA